GCTATGGGTTGGAATCGACTCGACCATCACTTAACAACAACAACACTAATATATATAACAATGACTTGTATCTTGCTTTTTTAGATCATTACACTGTAAATATTGTTGTTGTTAAGTGCTGTCGAATCAGTTCTGACTCATAGTGTCCCTGTATAGGGTTTCCAAGGAGTGGCTGGTGAATTTGAATGGCCAACCTTGCAGTTCCAACTGACTTTGTGGTCCAGTACATTATAGCACAGTGCCAAACCAAGACTCCTTGTAAATATAATGCCATCATTTTTCTTCTGCTGTATAATTATTGCTGTTGTTGTTAAGTGTCGTCCAGTTGGTTCCAAATCATAGCGACCCTGTGTAGGCTTTCTGAGCAGTGAATGTTGAATATAATGAAATCTTTTTCTCAGTTTTGTAAAATCCGCTTCTTCCAAGTAATGTCGTCTCATGATACTTCCCCATGGCATTAAACATCCTTTTGTATCGTCTTTAATGGCTTTCATTGTCATTTATTTAACATAATTTATTTCATAATCCTCAGACTTTTGGGTCACTTCCAAATTTTAGATATAATTAGCATGGTGATGCGAATTCTTATAGAGAAGTGTGTGCCATTTTATGAATACTTTATTAGGACAAGTTCTCAGAGGTGGAATTACTGGGTCAGAAAGTATGTACATTTTTAAGACTTCTGATATTATTCTTTGATACAATTCCCCCAGGAGTGAGTAAGCATGCTCATTTTCCCAGTTTCTGTTTCACCTGCAGTCTTGTGAGAGTCAGACTATTGTGGGGTTTTTTGGGTTTTTTTTAATTATTATTTTTAGGTTGGCTTGTTTACATTTAAAAAGTGTTATTTGTTGTTGAGTTGGTTTAATTCATAAATACCCTGAATAGGGTTTCCTAGGAGTAGTTGGTAGGTTTGAACTATTGACCTTTGGTTAGCAGTCCATTGCTTATCCTATAGATCACCACACCTAGTTTAAAAGAAGCTTATTCATTTTTTAAGTTCTTTTCATTTGAGGAAGTGAAATAGTTAATTGATAAAACTAGACAAATTTATGTCTTAGAAGAATTATGGCCATAAAAATAATTTTGATGGAAAATTGGCAGAATATATGGTTTGGTATTTAACAGAGCAGATGGGATGTCAGCAGCTGTTGTTCGTGTATTTAGACCTGCACTTTCCATGATGGAAGATTTTTGAGAAATCATGTACCCATATTTAGAATCGGAACACAAATGTGCTGCTTGGCAGCTTTACCTTGCTGCGTTATAACCTGTTTTAGTTGCCTTTCTAGATGAGCACCAAGCTGCCAAACAAATTACCCTATGTAGAGAACCCTGGGGGAATTAGAAATGCTTCCGTCTAAAAGAGGAGCTTTGTTCCTGAATGCTGTAGCTTACATGAGGAAAATGGTACCACAGACTTATAAAAAACCTTATCTGAATTCTACAGACTAAGAATATTTTTTCTTATCCTTTCCTCTTTGCTACCTCTTAGGATATCAGTGCAATGGAGGAAGAAAAGGATCAGCTCATTAAGAGAGTTGAACGTTTGAAGAAAAGGGTAAGTAAGGCAAGAATGAACACCCGTCAGACTTTGGCCACAACTCCCAAAGATTTGCAAAGAGTTAGGAATGCACATAAAGATGAAGGCAGGCATGGTGTCCGTCTGAAGAGGGACTCAAATAATATTGACAGAAAGGGAATCTCCCCAGGCAGCAACCCAAAACTTTGAGGGACCTGGAGCTTCACTGTCATCTCCAGGGAGTACTGTTTACCAAAAGGAAATGAGAAATGGATGTCTGTGTCACGTGACACGTTATTTCTCTCTCAAAGCTGACAGTAACATGTACTACTTATTCCCTCACTGTAGGTGGAGACAGTTCAGAATCATCAACGAATGCTTAAAATAGCAAGGCAACTTCGAGTTGAAAAAGAGAGAGAAGAATTCCTTGCACAGCAGAAACAGGAACAAAAGAATCAGGTATCCACATTAAACTTTATGTTCTCATAATAAAGCCATCAATCCTCTGATAATTCAGATGTAAAGAAAGAAGAATTTAGAATTATACCAGAGGGCTTCAAAGTGCATCGAAAAATGCATTATCTTTTCTTCAGTTTTTCCAAGAATTTTTGAAGCTCCCTCGAAGAAGCTCATGCATACCTTTATTTTGTTAATGTGATAAAATACTCCTTTAATATTAAGATTTTCTTTTTTTATAATGTCAACTTTAACAATGCCACCTTTTGGGTTTTGTACTCTTAACTCTTTTTTACACTGTCTTGTGGCCTATACTTAGCTCATATAGTCCCAACATTAATGTATTATCCTAAGATTCAGTGTAATGCTAAGCAGTATGATTAATTTCTGATAAAACTTCTAGAATCTCTAAAGCTTGCTGATATCCTGGGATATTGAGAATATCTTTTTTATTTCATTGATCTCCAAGACTCCATGGCTGTTGAGTCAATTCTGACTCATAGCAACTCTTGAGGACAGAGTAGACCTGCCCCATGGAGTTTCCAAAGCTATAATCTTAGCGGTAGCAGACCACCGCATTTTCTCCCATGGAGCTTCTGGTAGGTTTGAACTTTTAAGCTTTCCATTAGCAACTGAGCGCTTTAACCACTATGCCACCTGCACCTCTTCCATTGATCACAGTATTGTGTAACTTTACTCTAATGGCAAATAAGCAAATCATGATAAGGATAAAATTACACACACTCTACTTTTTCAGACTTGTCTTACAGAAAACATAATTTGGCCAGAAAGTATTGCTTTTATTATTTAAAGTCTATCTGAAAATCTGGGTAGACTTACACATTAAAAATAGATTTCACAGTAGCTTCATTTCCTATAGATGGCCCGTTTAGATGTTGGTTCCTTTGAAGCTTGACCTGGCATCCTGATGGTTTCGCTGCAGCATTGTTACAGTGGTCAAGCGCTGAATGGTTACTTAGCATCAGTTTCAGATTCTGTTGTGTTGTTGTTAAGTGCCATCCAATGTGTCTGACTCAGAATAGCCTATGTACAACAGACTAGATCACTGCCTGGGTCTGTGCCATGCTCACATCTCCTATGTTTGAACACATTGTTACAGCCACTGTCAGTCCATGTGGTTGAGGGTCTTTTTCACTGAGCCTCCTCTTTATCAAACATGGTATGATGTCTTTCTCCCAGTACTGGTCCCTCCTGATAAAATGACCCAAGTACATGAGACAAAGTCTTGCCATCCTCCCTTCTTACTGTACTTCTTCCAAGACAGATTTATCTGTTCGTCTGGCAGTCTGTGCTATATTCAATATTCTTCTCCATCATCATAATTCAAAATAAATCAGTTATTCTTTGGTCTTTGGTCTTTCTTAGTCACCGTCTAGCTTTCACATGTATAAGAAAATGTGAAAATACCATGATTTGGGTAAGAACACAACACCTTAGTACTCAAGGTGACATCTTTACTTTTTTTAAAGAATTCTTTTGCAGAAGATTATGTAATATGTCGTTTGATTTCTTGACTGCTATTTCCATGGACATTGATTATGGATCCAAGTAAAATGAAGTTTGTTAGAGCGTCAATCTTTTCTCCATTTATCATGATGTTGTTTATTGGACCAGTGATGAGGATTTTTGTTTTCTGTATATTGAGGTGTAACCAAAACGAAAGCCGGAAGCCTTAAACCCTATCAGTAAGTCCTTCAAGTCCTCTTAGCTTTCAGCAAGCAAGGTCGTATCACCTTGACATCTCAGGCTGTCAATGAGTCTTCCTCCTGGTCTCATGGTGTGTTTTTCTTCATATGGCCCAGCTTTTGGGGCTATTTGTCTAGCATACAAATTTAGTCATATAGAGAAAGGATCCATCCCTGACACACACCTTTCCTGATATTAAACTGTGCAGTATCACCTTGTTCTGCTCACATGACTGCCTTTTCGTCTCAGTACAGAGTCCCTATGAGCACAATTAAGTGCTCTGGAATAACCATTCTCACAGTGTTATCCACAGTTTATGATCCCCACAGTCAAAATGCCTTTGCAGAGTCAGCAAAGCACAAGTATACAGCTTTCTGATATTCTCTACTTTCAGCCCCAAGCCATCTGACATCAGCAGTGGCTTCTTCTGAATCTGGCTTGAATTTCTGATAGTTATCATTATACTGCTGCAACCATATTGTTGTTGTTGTTATCGTTGGTGTGGGGTGGGAGGGGGGAGGGAGTAAGGGGATCCCTGGTGTGGCACTGTGGGTTAATGCACTGGACTTCAAAGTTGTTTTGAACCACAAGATTGCTGGTTGTAGCTCACCAGCTGCTCCTTGGAAACCCTATACCGGGCCCTATGGGTTGGAACTGACTCTATGGTTCTTAACAACAACAACAACGACAAGTAAGGAGTGAGAGCTAGGGTTAGGACTTTGGATATAGGTCCAACGTAGGCCTAGCAGCCCTGGTAGCATAGTGGGTTATGCCTTGGGCTGTTAACCTCAAGCTCAACTGTTTGAATCCGTCAGCTGCTCTTTTGGAGAAAGATGAGGCTTTCTACTCCCATAAAGATGTACAGCCTCATAAACCCTATGGTGGTAGTGATTATGTGCCATGGAGTCAGTTTCGACTCATAGCAACCCTCTATAGGTTGTTATGTGGTTGGTATGTAAATTTGAATAATAGTTGTTTTAAATGGCTTCCTTGCAGGCATATGGATATTGCCCTATCACTGATAGCATTGTACTTTAGGATAGACCTGAAAATGATTTTTTTAATGATGAACGCGACACCATTCCTTTTCATAGTAGGTCATATGACGAGTTAAAATGGCCAATACC